ATTAGTAAGAATTAGGTCCAGTATAGCTTTTCATCTAGTTCCCTCCTCTATCTTTTGGACAACAAAGTTCTCAGCTAAATTGGTTAGGAATCTGTTCAATCTCCCACTTGCTACAGAGTTTGTCTTCCAGTTGATATCAGGGTAGTTTAAAGTCTCCCATTACTACTGTGGTATGTTTCCTACATACATTTGCTACATTTGATTAGTGAAGAGTTCATCTATTTCTTCTGCATGGTTGTGTGGCCTATAGTATACACCTATAGTAATGTCATGTTTTCCCACAAAATTTTTTTTTGCAATGGTATCTTCAGCTTGGTTAAAAAACAAAAAGACCAAGCACAGAAACCCTATATGGAAATTAGGGAAATGGCATGTATTTCTGGAATTTATGGATAATGTAAGGCAGTGGTGGTGAATCTTTTAGAGACCGAGTGCCCAAACTGCAACCCAAAACCTACTTATGTATCACCGGGTGCTGGGTGGGCATGGCCTGCTGGATGAGCGTGGCTACAGTGGTCATGGCAGACTGGGTGGGCATGGCCAGGATGGGCGTGGCCAGCTCGATGTTGCTCCTGGGGAGGGATGCCTGTGGGGGCCGGGCAGGGTTGGGAGAGATCCAGGGGGTCTCTGGTGGGTGGGGCAGTGGGCAGGAGGGCATCTTGCTCAGCTGGTGGCTTGGGGGAAAGGGGGCAGCTACACCCCCTCCCAAACGCTGCCATCTCACGAAAACAGGATGAAAACTCCAAAAAGCGACAAGGAAAATTTTTTTAAAACAGAAGAGTGTCTCGCAATGGTTTTCTTCCCTGGGGGGGCATGGGGGGAGGCTCCTGAGCCCTGCAGCTCTTCCGGGGGGAGGAGGGGAGGGGCTGTGCTGGGATTGGGGCTCCTCATGCCTTCCACTGCCCGCCTGTGCTCTTCTGCCGCAGATGTTGCGGCTCCGTTTGCCTGGCAGGGGGGCACGCTCGCGCATGGGGACATACATGAGGCTGCTGCCTTGCTTTCTGTGCCATGCCGGGACTTGGCTGGGCTGGGTATGGAGCTTCCTCGCGGCTTCTTCCCCTGCAGATATTGGGAGTGCCCACCCCACCTACCGCTCATCCAGGGGCAGCTGCTGCCATCCTCCAGCCTGTCGCCGGCCAGCCGGGGATGCCAGAATGCCTCCCTTAAGGCTCCCTTGGCCTCTCCTCCCTCCAGGCTGGGGCTGGTGAGATCCCCCCCCATGGGCAGCCCTGCACCCATCCCCGGCCAGTCCTCCTCCTGCATTCTCCTGCTCCTTCTGTGGGTGGACCATGGCTTACTAAGTTGGGCGGCACCTCTCCCTGCATGCGTCCTCAGGTGGAGGAGCCGGGCAGCCACAGCTCTCACTCCCCTCTGGCCTCCATCTACCTGAGGCCTGAGCTCGGTGCGCCCAGCTGCCCGGTGATGGGCTGGAGAGTGTGGGATGGTGGCAGATGCTCCGGGATGAGTGGTAGGTGGGGTGGGTGCTCCCAATGTCTGTGGGGGAAGAAGCGGCGAGGAGGCTCCACGCCCAGTCCAGCCCAGCCCTGGCATGGCACAGAAAGTGAGGCAGCTGCCCTGCATGCATCTGACGCAACCCTCGTAGAGCGCTGTTCTCCCGCCGCCCAGACCCAACCCTTCCAGAGCCCCGACCCAGTTCTTTAGCTCCACCTGGCTTGTTCCGCGGCCTCATGGCAGTGGCACTGGGCAGGAGGCGGCAAATGGCCGATTTTGGTGTGGCGGCAAACAGCCATGCCACATTGAAACCGGCCATTTGCTACCTTGCGTGTCACGGCCACTTGCCGCCTTGTGCATCGTGGCTGTTTGCCTCTGGCTGGAGGCAAACAGCCATGCCAGACCGAAAGCCACCAATTGCTGTCTCATGCATCGTGGCCACTTGCTGCCTTGCGCATTGCCAAAACCAGCCATTTGCTGCGATGCATGATGCGGCAAATGGCCATGACGCACGAGGCAGAAAAAGTGGGGCATCTTTTCCCCCCACCCCCAATAGATCGCCCTGCTGCCACCGCTGTTTCCCCCCACCCCCCGCACTGATCCCCCTGCTGCCACTTCCCCCATCTCCCACACGGATTGTCCTGCCGCCGCTGTCTGGGGAGTGCCGAAACTCACTCGCAAGTCCGAGGTGCTGGATTTTCCCGGTGTAGCTGTGCCAAGCCATGCCGCCAGGCTTCCCAGTGGCCAACAGAAGGGAGATCGTAGCAAGAGCGATCTTTTTCCCCATTCCCTCCCTGGCCCTTGAGCTCATCTTGACACCTCTTTCTCTGCACCGCTTCTGGCTTCTCACCTCTCCCCCGCCTTGCAGCTGCTCCCTGACTCCTAGTGCAGAGAAAGAAAGTAAAAGTGCTGGCGAATGTGGAGAGGGGGAGGGGAGCGGCCTGACCCCACCTCCCTCTGGGGCGATGGCGTGCATGCCCACAGGGATGGCTCTGCGTGCCACCTGTGGCACGCATGCCATAGGTTCGCCACCATGGATTTAAGGTATTAAAAAGATAGGGACTGTTCAGTTAGGTAGGGAGAAGAGGGTCATTAGACCAGACTTCCTGGCTGAGAGACCATGAGCCCTAGTGGTCTGAGCTGAAAACAGTGTCTATTGGGTAAGGTAAAGGGGAACAGGAAGAAGTGGTTGGGATTAGGGAAAATGGAGGAAGATTGAACATTGGGACCTGTGGTGGCTGCCAAGTCACTCAGTTCAGTGCACTGCTGTGTGATGTAGTTGGGGACTGAAGATGGTTTGGTTAGAGGAATAGAATTGGATGATTATAAGAAAGTCAAGGTTGACATAATGTTAGAATCCCTTTGAAGCCAAGGATTTAGGACATGGAGTTTGGAGGTAAGGATGAAGATCAGAATAGTGGTAGGCAGAAGGAATTACAGTAGAAGTGGGATTGGGCTGTTTTAGGGGAAGGGGGATGGAAACCAGCACTTGGCAACTGATATTTCATACCTTGGGTGCAAACTGCATTACCACTGAATTTTCAACTGAAAACGAGAAGCAGCCTGCAACTTCCTTGAAAAGTTTAGGGACAATTATGACTATTTATCCGGTCCATTTGATTGTCCAGTATATATAAAAAGGGGGGATGAAATGGATTACTGGGTGATCATGAGGGCTTAGCAATTTCCTTCATGGCAAATCTTCAGAAAAGAACTTCAACCTTTTCCCAAATAGATTGATTAGACTGCTCTGGTTTGAGCTAAACCTGTGTTTTAATTTTTCATTATTGCTTCAAAACATTTTAAAATTTGGGGGTTGTGAATTTGTGATAGCTTAATGATGTTGGTCTAACATTTATTACAAAGATTATCATTAGGAAAGAGATAAAAACTAAGCTTCTGATATTGTTATGCTATTATAGAAATCTGCGTGGCCACTCTTGGAATACAATATTGTTTCCTGTTCTGATACTTGCATCTTAGAAAAGATATTGCCAGGAAACATTGCTGAAAAAAAACAATCTCTTTAACACAATAAGATAGAATTTGTGGGCATATAGATTATTTTGAGGGCATGAAGTCCATTATTAAAATAAGAACAGACTTCTTTTCATATTTTTTTTGGTATTTGGACAGTAATTTGTGGGCATAGTTGGCCCTTGTATAGGAATGTATCCTGTCAAATACAGGCAGATAGGCCTAAAGGAATTTTGCTAAGGAAATACTTACAAACTTGGGAACATTGAAACCAACTGTTAATATCATCTACTATACCGATTTTCTCCATGACAACCTGGTCTTTCAAGTCTTTCAATGGTGCACTCATTGCCACTGTAACTGAGGCCATCCACATTATTATTAATAGCTAATGGCTGTGAAAACCCCCAATACTGTAAGGATACTGTGAAATCAGACAAGTATAAGTATGTTTAGAGGTGTGCTTCTTGATTTTCTGGTTGGTTTGTTTGATTGCTTGCTTAAATAGTTCCTGAAACATTGGGGGGGGAGGGATTTCTTCGTCAGATGACATATAGTGTAAACAGAGCCTCCTGAATTCACTGTAATTTTAACTCTCCCATTATAAAAAAACAGATCTGCCAGTCACTCCAATGGCTATATCTTAAGTTCTCTCTTTCCCAACCTAAGTATGAAATAAATTGAGAAGATAAATGATACACAAACTCCATCAACAAAATAAAAAAGCATTGAGATCAACATTAGGACTTATTACTAGCAAAGCTGCACAGACTTTATTGAATTTAAACAATGGCAAACACAACTGGCTCACAGAAACTGGAGCTTTCTAACCTAAGTCCAAAAGTCTGTGGGTGGCTGTTTTCAGCAGTTCCTGCCACACTTTGAATTTAGTTTAGTTTCATGCTCTCTGTTTTCCACATTTCAGGAAAAGGTCCCCCGTCCCCCCGCTTTGTTGATTCTTGTGAGATTATGAGAAGGGTTGGTTCTGGCTATGCTACTCCAAAGCAATAGAAACCACCAGGGAACCAGTGAGATTTCCTGCTGATGCTCACTGGTTCTTGCCTGCTCTGTTTAATGGAAGAAACCATGCCAGATTCAAAGGATACTGTTAAGGATGAGACAAGAATGCATAAGGTTTAGAAACTGAGAGAATAATGACATAACTGAATATCTATTGCTCTAAATGAGGCTCAGTCTCAGAATTACTGCAGGTGCTGAAAAAAAGCGGAGAGAATTAAGGTAACAAGGTCCAGCTAAACTGTGGCTAATGAGAATGTCTTCTTTGAAGGTTTAATGAAAGAAAACCTCAGCAAAATCTATTTAGATTAGTATGCACTTTACATCTGACTGGCCTGGAGCATAAATTAAATTTTAAGAAGAAAACCAGGAGCACAAAATGCAAAGACACTTATCAACATGAGTGTGGGAGTATGGATGTGCATGCACACATTCCTTTCTGAAGAAAAATATCCTAAGAGATAAAACAGGTATGTGAAGTAGTAAATATGCAGATTGTACAAGCTGAATGAAGGATAATTGACTTGATGGAGTCAAGGATGACAAGCGACAAATTAGAGTGCGCCCATTCCAGTGACCTCAGACGTCAGCCTAGAAGAAATAGAGATACATATAGTTGAAGAACAGCTTAAGAAGTGCTTGCAGTTTATGAGGAAGAGATCAAAGGACTTGTGTTTTATTCACCATGTTCCAACCTTGATACAATGAGTTGCAGTTGTTATGTCCATTCCTATTGTGTTCAAGTGCTGGTGCCCTATCAAAAGGTCTGGAAATGCTTCTAAACACAATGGAAATGGACACAATCTCAATATTTCAATTACAAATAGTCACATTACTTGGAACAGTGCATATATTACATTAGAATCTTCAACTCTCCTAGATCCTTGGGGAAAATACAATAATCAAAAATACCAAATCCAGTCAGAACTTTCTGAGACAGTATATTTAAAATGATAGTATTAAGCAATAATGATTATTTATATCACATTTAAAAACTGTAACAAGACCTGTTTTTGCTGTGGAACAATGCTGGCCAGCCTTTTTTGTAGTTGCACTACTGTATGAATAAGTTCAACAGGATGAAGGATCTCAATGAATATGACAGTAGCACCACATTTGCTGAAATTCCTGTGTCCCATTTATGTAGCATCATGAGAGGAATTCTTTCCCCATGTCCTCCCTTCCAAGCATTGACATTTTTGGCCATGTTACCAAGACTGGGGACAATGGGCATCTTGCCTGCTTCACCTGGATAATGTTCTATTTACCATGCAAATGCTGTGCATTTTTCAGCTTCTGCTTAACTGAAAAACAAGCAGGCCTAACGTAGCACCATAGGGCACATTCTTAATCCTTTATTTTCTATCCAGATATGCCACCCATATCATGCATGCCACAGTTGAAAATAATTAATGGTATTTATTTATCTTGTATTTATCTTGTATTTAGACAGATTATTGTATCTTGCTTTTCTGCTATGACAAGCAATTTTATTTAAGCTTGTTATGAGCAGATTATCTTTTACTTTTTATGTTTTTGCTTTAATATATAGAAAGGAAAAAATACAGAAACAAATGAAAAGCAAACACATAAGGAAAAGAAAAAGAGAAAGGAAACATAAAAAGCTCAGCTTTAAGCACAGTATTAAACCTAATCTTGACCACATAGTAATATTGATCACGCTTTCCATTACACTGATAAGATAGCAATTAAACATGATCAATCTAAGACTGTAAATCTGGAAAACTCCATCTTTTTTGCAGCAGCCCTTGCTCACTAAAACCAAATACTTCATATAATGATACATTTCAAATCTGGAGCTCATAATTAAAATAGCATTCACATCTTTGAACAATATTACTCTTCCCAAAAACATATTAATAAAAATATGGATAGTAAATCAAAACAGAACAATCACAGGTCAAGCCACATCATATAAATTAGGGTGTGTCCATCATTTCATAGTCCAGCATAATAAATTTGACGTCTATTTTAAACTTTATCTGAAGTGTCCGATAAACATGAAAAACATTTTTGCTGCATTAATCGTATTTTAAAATTAAGAGAAACTGTCATGGTTCCGATAGATGAAACTCATTAAAAGAACTTCAAGATAAAGATTTTTTCCTTAAAGAACATTTTATTCAGGAAACAAAGTATCGGCACTTACATAGTGAACCCAAGACTGAAATTCCCTCCCCCCCAGATACAAAGTAACAAGTTGCAATTTCCACCCCAAAGAAGCTGTCAGAAATCACATTCTCCAATTAACGCAAAATGCGGGCTTTCCTTCCCAGTTCCTCAGCCTGCCAAAACTTTTATCAAGCAATGTCTTTGAGTTCCCACACAGCTGAAGTTGTTATGGCTAACTAAACCCTCAAGCATTTACCCCATCCCCCTTCTACATCTAAACTTCAAAACAGTAAAAGGCACTCTAAAAGCAAAGATAACATGGCTGCTGATTCTCAGTTGTCATAGCGTTGACATCCATTGTCACAGTGTTGACAGAAACATTCATAATATTCTTTTAATTCCTTAACCATTGATTTAATATGAGTTTTCCAACACTGTTCCAAAGTTCTTGCAAATAGATAATTTGCAATTCAACTGTCAGTATGGCTCATAGGAAATTGTTTATTAAGGGAACTACAACACAAAACAATGCCAAACAAACTCATGTGTAACCAAGTATATTTTTTATCTATTTTTTAACTTAAAAAATGTCCAAGTAGAACATATTCAAATAAATTTAATATCAAATAAGCATATTATTTGATATATGACAGCAAAAGTGCTATTAAAATAATGACTTATAATGATCATTATTTATAATAGTATCTAAAAAACTAAGTGTCAGAACCCATTTCTTTGGTGGGGGGATTTTACTAGATGGGTCTTTTTCTTTTTCCTTCTGTGGGTTCTGCCATACTCCTGGGGGGAGGGGGGAGGCCTCTGGGGAATTGTTATGTATCTTGTCCTTTCGCTTAGCTGCTACAATGTATTCTCTCTGCTTCCTCTATCTGCTTGCTCTTTGAACTGTTCTCCCCTTGATGCCAACCTGGGGTGAGAAAGGAATGTGTCTCCGGCCATCTGGTTTATCTTTTGTTGCGGAAGAGAAGGTGTGAAGACCCAGCAATGTTTTCACAGCCTTGGGAAAGGAGTCTTATCAGCCTCGTTCCCACAGTGGACTTAACACTGGGGATTGGCCCATTTGAACTGACCGGATGAACTATTGGGGTGGGGTTTGCTTTTTGCTCCTTTAACCTATTGATTTGAGCAGGAAACCTTCAGATCCTGCCTTCTATGCCTGCTGTCAACTTCTCCTAATAAAAGTTCCTTTTGGGATGATTCCGTTCCAAGAGTTCTGCTTTCTTGGGAAGAAGTTTTGAAGGGTCCTTACACTAAGTCTGATAACCTGGAGCTAGTAGAAGTGAACATTTATGGTAATGGGAAATACACTCTTGGGAAGGAAAAATTGCTTAAAGCTTCAGTTATTTTATGCTTTTGTATATGAAAACATTTAATTATCAAAATTAAATTTATAGTACTAATTCCTCAGAAATGCTTGTGTTAGTCCCTTAATTGCTAAGATTGGAAGCAAAAAAGATACGTTTAACAGATTTTTCTCTTATCTATGTAGACTAGTAATTAATAAACTTATTATGAAAAAGAACAGCTGTTTTAAATTTACTATTAATGAATTTTTTATTTGTAAAAAATATCGTTAAAATGAAATGACATGTCTGGCTCAGTAAAATGATGAATTAAGGAAAAATAATGGCTATAAATTGGAAAAGAAGAAAAGGAGAGAAGTATTTGATTTAATGCAATTAACTGAATAATTTGATAATTTACTGAATTGTTGCACAATATCAATAGGTTTGCTAGACAGCATTCATAATGATCAGTAACACATATCATCAGCATATATTAATATTTTGTTTTCATATCCAGTCCTTTTTATGTCCAGACCATTTTCCATTGTTTGAAAATTTTAACATCACTACATTAATCTATAGGATGCCCAAAGAAGTATCTACATTGCTACAAATATTAACAGATTTTATTTCAGCTAAAATAGTTAGGCTATTCCCAAGAGTTGTATTCAGCAGATTTATTTATTTACTGTATGGTGATTTTACATTAGTCGGGAGATTACAACGCTAATAAAGAGTAGTAGTTTGACTGCCTAAGACCTCTGGCCCATTTGGTTCACACTTGCCCTCTTTCCAAGGTGCACCACAGGGGGCAAGCTAGCTCTGCACCGTATTCAGCAGAAATCGGTTTCTAAAGAAATTTACTTCCTGGAAATTCTGAGATGCAATGGAAATGAACATGCTATGAGCATTATAGCCACTTGGGCATATTTTACCAGTAATGAACACAAGTTGATGAAAATAAGAATGAGGGCCTGAGGGAGGAAATCTCACCTGGCATTGATGAGGTATTGAGCAAGGCTGATGTTAGCTGGGGTTCCTGTGATGGTGATCTGACGCTCTGATGAGCCTTCTGTGGCATTGGCAATTTTGATCTGGGCTCCAGACATCTGCCTGATTTCATTAATTTTGGTCCCTTGGCGTCCAATTATGCAGCCTATTAACTAGGAAAAAAGTTATTAGGACTTTCTTAAACTAACTCTTATGGTATTAAGAATTGTGAACAACAAATAACACAAAGCTTACTAGAAATCTCAGTATTAGTTTCTCTTTTGTTTTGTTACTAACAATATGCTGTAACTATGCTCCCTATAAAATCACACAGGGAGATTTTCAAACGATTGTTTTTTAGTACTACCGAAGTATAACTGTGGAAACATATCACTAATGGAGATTGGAGCTGCACTGCCTCTTTGATGGCTAGAGAAAACTGGGAATTATTAAGACAGAAATCTTCCTAGATGTTTCCTTATTTAAAATGTTATTTCTAACTATGTACGTGAGATTCACCAGGCCAAGTATACTTTGTTGTGCTGAAAAAAGACATATAGCAAATATGGGCATTCCTATATACAAACTGAAAAAATATATTATTAATTATTATTAATAATTATTCTGCCTTTTTATATGTAACTCAAAGCGGCAAACATACTGTACCAAATATTCCTGTCTCCTATGGCTGATTAGGAATTGCATTGCTCCACGATGGAGCACTAAATTTATTCCCAGAAGTGGAAATCTGAGCATCTATAGACACCCCCCATTGCAATCAGTCTCATGCCCCATTTTGCTTGTATCATAACATACAGATGGTGAGGCCTGAAGGATCTCTCCATTTTGTTTTCTACAACACAATCCCAAAGAGTGTTTGTTTTGCAAGCCCAGATTTTATCCTAGCTCTCTCTTGGTTTCTGTCACGCACATAAACCAGACAACTCTTTTTTCTCTTCCCTATGTGCTCAGAATGGAGTGGGGGCTTCTGCTCTGAGGAAGTGACTGGGACAGGAGGGCCTATCAGTTGCTTGGTTAATGGTCAATGAAGTGACTATTAGGCTTTTTTCTCTTCTTTTTTTGTGTAAAAGTTTTAGTAATTTTTCCATTCAATAGTACTTATTCAACAATGTGTTGTCTGAGTATCATTCACTAATACAAATTTAATTCCTAATCCTTTATTCCTTTCTCCAGCCATTGATAAAACAAGTCCCAAGTCTGATAGTATTCTGTTTCTTCTTTTTCTTTCAACCTCATAGTAAGTCTGTCCATTTCTGCACATTCTAATATTTTTTTAATTATTTCTTCCTCTGGTGGTGATTCTTCCTTTTTCCAATATTGTGTAAATATGATTCTTGCCACTGTTATCACATGTAAAATCAAATATATTTTGTTTATCAATCTTTTCTGGCATAATACCTAATAAAAAAAAGATCAGGTTTAAAATCTACATGTTTCCCCAACATCTTTTCTAGCCAAGTATGTACGGTATTTTTTCCAGTACCTCTTTGCTTCAACACATGTCCACCATACATGATAATAAGTAGCTGACTTATGTTTACATTTCCAACATCTATCTGACATATTTTTAAACATTTTTGCCAATCTTGCTGGTGGCAAGTGCCATCTATAAAATATTTTATATACATTTTCTTTGTAAGAAGCTGCCATAATTTCTTTCCTACAAGTTTTGCCATTTTTCTAATTCTATGTTATATCCAAAATTCTTTGCCCATGTTATCATTGTTTCTTTTACTTGTTCATCTTCCATTTTCAAATTCAATAAAAAATGTATACATTTTCTTAATTATTTTCTCATCCGAAGTTAATAATGTCTGATCAAACAAGGATTATAAAATCCATACAGTTTGACATCTTTATCATATCTAACTTGCATTAATAAATATGTCCACCATGATAGATCTATACCCTGATTTTCCATCTTGCTTAGATTTTAAATTCCCTTCAGAATTTAGAATATCTCTATATGTTCATATTTTCTCAAAGTTAACTAAATTTGGATGTATAAATGCTTCCATTGTTGAAAGCCATCCTGGTATTTTCAAATATATTTTACATTTTATTTTTTCCCATGTTAATAGTAATGCATTTCTTATATAGTGGTTCTGAAAGTACTTACGCATTTTATTTTTCCCATACCATAAAAAGGCGTGCCAACCAAGTTGTAAATCATGTCCCTCCAAATATAACAACCTTTTGTTTCTGAGAGTTATCCATTCTTTTACCCATGGTAATACAGATGCTTGATAATATAAAACCCACTCTGGCAAGCCAAAACCTCCATTTTCCTTAGCTTCTTGTAGCATTTTCACTTTAATTCTAGCTTTCTGTTCTTGCCAAATAAATTTCAAAATTAAAGAATTTAAGTCTTCATAAAAGTTTTTCTCTAGTTTTATAGGTATCGTTTGAAACAGAAATGGTATTTTTGGTAGCATATTCATTTTCACTGTAGCAATTCTTCCTAACATCAACAATTGCAAATTTTCCAATTTTTCCAGGTCCAATCTTATTTGGTTCAATAAATTTATATAGTTATCTTCTTTTATTGTTGAACATCTTGCTGTTAAATATATTCCCAAGTATTTAACCTTTTTAACTATTTGTAGTTCTATTTTTTCTAACATTTTTTTGCTTATCTGTGAGATTTTTAACTATCACTTTAGTTTTTTCTCTGTTTATTTTCAGACCTGCTATCTCTCCATACTGTTCTATTTTTTCCAATAGTTTAGGAATCATCTCTAAAGGTTCTTCTAAAATAAATACCAAGTCATCTGCAAATGCTTGCAATTTATAAGTTTCACCTTTTATTTCTATTCTTTAATTTCTGTATATTGCTAATATTTCTGTTTAAAACTTCCAAAGTTAAGATAAATAACAATAGAGATAGTGGACATCCTTGCCTTGTACCTTTTCTTATCTCAAAATTCTCTCTGTAGTCTCCGTTCACAATCACTTTTGCTATTTGTTTGTGGTATATTGTTTCAATCATATTTATAAAGTTTTGTCCAAAGTCCATTATTTTTAGTTGTTGCCAGGAAACATTATCAAACGCCTTTTGGGCATCTAAAAACATTAGTGTCAATTGTTTCCCTGGATGCAGTTCATAGTATTCCAATATGTCCATTATAACTCTTAAATTATTTTTAATTTGTCTCTTTGATAAAAACCATCTTGATCTGGATGTACAAATTCAGTTAAAATCATTTCAGTCTCTCTGCTATTATTGAAATAAATTTTGTATAATCTGAATCTTCTTTTGGTATTAAAGTAATATTTGCATCTATCCATGTAGTTGGAATTTTAGCTTCCAACGAAAGTTCATTACACACATCTTTCAACGGTGCACTTAATGTGTCTTGTAGGCCATTTACATAATTCTGCCGGTAGCCCATCTGGTCCCGGTGTTTTTTCATTTTTTTGTCTTCTTATGGCCTCTGTTAATTCCATCATTGTTATTTTTTCATTTAACATGATTTTAAATTTTTCTGAAATTTTTGGTAAATTATTTTTCCCCAGATATTGAATCATTTTCTCCTGTGGAATTTCTTCTATGTCATACAGTTTCTCATAGTATTCTTTAATTATCTTTTTTATTTCTTCGTTTTTAAATTATAAAGAGCCTTTCTCATTTACTAAATTATTTATCAATTTTTTCTCCTTCTGTTTTCTAAATTTATAGGCTAACCATCTTCCTGGTTTGTTTGCATTTTCAAAACTTTTTTGTTTTGCTCTTTTAATTTGCTGTGCCAATTTTTCTGATTCCATTAAATTTATTTTATGTTTTATTATTTCCATTTGTTTTTTCAGTATTTTCTTTTGTGGGTTTATTTTTTTTCTCTTGAAGCATTTGGCCTGGAGCAAAAATGAGTCAGTGGTCACAAGCAAAACTGAGAAAACCAATAATTCATCAGCCTCTGCTATAAAACAGGAATATATATTTAGTAATATAAATAACAACAGTAAACATTCAACCATCCTACATATAATCATAAATTAAATGTTTAGATGTAAAAACAAGCAGAGAAAGGACGGAAAGTGAAAGCCAAGCGAAAAACTTCTTAATGGACAAATAAAAACAACAACTGGCCAAACAAAAGACTTCTCAAGCTACGACTCAAATATAGCAATATCCATTACAATTTCATATGATATTAAACAGAATTTTTGCTCTTCAAAAATGTTTTAAACATTTGCTTTGTCTTTTGCTAAAACTTGATTATCCGGATTTATGGAATGTGAGAATTGCCAGTGACAAGAGATTGTGGGGTCTAAAATTATCTATTGGCGCATCAAAGCCCTGAAGAAGCAATCTTTAAGACTAATATCAACTTCTTATTTATTTTGCAATTTGAAGTATAGTTACAGGTAGTCCTCAACTGGTTGACTTATTGAAGTTATGATGGATTTCAAAAAAGTTACTTACAACCTATCCTTGCAGTTATGACTGCCGCACCACCCCCATGGTTACTTGATTGCATTTTGGCTGATTAATAACTAGCTCACATTTATGATCCCATGATTGTGTTTTGCAAAGGTTGATTTGCCATTTTCTGGCCAAAAGAAGGGCAAAGCATGCCTACTGGATAAGGCAAATGATGCCTACTGGATAAGCTGGATTCAGATTTAGGACCACTTAATTTGTTAATGACTTGCTTGATGACCATCATAAAAACAGTCATAAAATCAAGTCCAATCACATGGTCACTTAACTTTTGATCAAAATGACTTATGACCAAAATTCCAGGCTCAATTGTGGAAGTTGTAAGTTGAGGACTACCTGTAGAAAGATACAGGAGGCAGAAAGAGAAAGAGAGAGACAGATAGACAGACAACCTGACAGAACAAGTGGATTTCAAGAAAGAACAAACTGCATCTAAATTGTAGATTTTCTTGAGCTAAGACATACTGAAGAAAAAAATGCATATTTGTACTTCTGCAATTTCAGTGAACATTTAGAATTTCTAGTTAGAGTAAATTAAGTACAGGAATAAGCTATGTGTGGTAGACATGTTTGCTCATTAGTATCTTAGAATGTGAAATTTTTGACATGAAGGAGTTCAGTATCAATTAAATCTTCTGTCTTAACAGGTGGCCTGGAACCTTATGGTCATATAACTAGGAAGCCCAAACTGTTCTAAGAAAATTGTATTTATGGAACATTATACTTGGATTTAGTCATCCCTAGATGGAGGCTCTTTGCTTTCCCAAAAATTCTGTTTGTATATTCTGCTTTTCTACTCTACTTTGGCTTAAATTACATTGATATGTAGTACAGTGGATGAACTTGCTGACCTTCTTCTTTTGCATAGATGCCTTGCTGTAGAATAGAATAGAATAGAATAGAATAGAATAGAATAGAATAGAGCTGGAAGGGACCTTGGAATACTGCTATCATGTCCCCCCTATTTCTTCTTTTCTTTAGACTAGCCAAACCCAAGTCTTTTTTGTAATATGGTGACCAAAATTGGTTGCAGTATTCCAGGTGTGGTCTCACTAGGGTTTTATAAAGCAGTACTAATACTTTGCATGGTCTTGATTCTATGCCTCTGTTTATACAACCCAGGATTGTATTAGCTGTTTTGGCTGCTGCTGCACACTGCTGGCTCATGGTCAAGTCATCGTCCACTAGGACTACAAGGTCCCTCTTACAGTTACTGTTTTTGAGCAATCTGTACTTAAACCTTTGATTTTTTTTCTGCCTAAATGTAAAACTTTGCTTTTCTCCACATTAAAACTCATTTTGTTGGATAGGGCTCATTGTTCAAGTTTGTCAAGATCTTTTTGGAGCTTGTCGTCTGGGGTGTTGGCTATTCCTGCCAGTTTAGTGTCACCTGCAAATTTGATGAGTTCCCCTTCTATTTCCTCATCTAAGTCATTAATGAAGATATTGAAGAGTACTGGGCCTAAGACAGAGCCTTGTGGTACCCCACTGTGTTAGAATTAAAACTGCAACTTGAAAAACTCTAAGATAGGGAGACTATTCTTATTGTAATAATCTGTTCATTCCAGGCTTCATCTTAGTAGAATCACCATGGCACTGTGGATTGCTATCCTGCATTGAAATCTATTATTTTATAGGTTTGTATTTATTTCAAGTCAAATGACAGCTAGAAAAACTCACAACTAGTGAGTTTCAAAGCTATAGTCAAGCATACTTTAAATTAGGTCTATTCTGAAAGTTAATTTTACTTATTCTACTTATTCTACAGAGATTTTCTCTAACACTTCATTATCATTATCATTATCATTAGGAGCTATGGTGGATCAGTGGTTAGAATGCAGTATTCCAGGCTGACTCTGCCCACAGCCTGGAGTTTGATCCTGACAGGGCTCAAGCCTTCCATTTTTCTGAGGTTGGTAAAATGAGGACCCAGATTGTTGAGGGCAATATGCTGATTCTGTAAACTGCTTAGAGAGTGCTGTAAAGCACTGTGAAGCAGTATATAAGCCTAAGTATATAGTGCTATCAGTGCTTTTAGTCCTCAAGTTACGAATGTAATGGAGCATGCTCATTCCATTTGTAACTCGAGGATTCATAGGAGTGAATCTCGTACCTGGGCGAATGCACAGCTTGTTAAGTGAACATGAGATATCTCAGGGTGGGGAAGGCCATGGGGGACCTAATGAAGGAACAAGCCTTCTGCTTTAGACCATCCAAGCCCCCCCCCCCGAGATACCTCATGCTCCCTCCCCTGGGGTCCCCACAATTGCTCCCCTGTCCAATCCTGCCATGTCGGGTCACTTACCTTGTGAAGATCTGTCTCCTCTCCAGCCCATCTGTTACTTTCTCTGGTCCCAGCAAGAGCAGAGAGAGGCCTTCGAGGCCCAGAATGTACCCCCGGAAGCATATGGCCACCACCCACAGCCTCCATTCTGGGCCTTGGAGGGCTGGAGGAAGCCTCAAGACCCAGAACGGACCTCCAGAGGCATGCAAAACCCTCCCCTGGCCTCCATTCTGGGCCTTGGAGGCCTGGAGGAGGCCAAGAACAGACATCCAGAGGCATGCAAAAGCCTCCCCCAGCCTCTGCTCTGAGCCTTGGAGGCTTGGAGGAGGCATCGGAGGCCCCTGCCTCCTTTCTGGGTGGCAGCGGTCTGTAAAAGGCCTCTGACACCCAGATTGGGCCTCCGGAGGTCAGCAGAAGCATCCCTCAGCCTCCTTTCCAGGTGGCAGCAGCCCAGAATGGCCTTTGATGCCTGGATCGGGCCTCTGGAGGGACGCGGAAGCCTCCACCAGCTTCAGTTCAGTTCTCTGTTGCAGAGAAAGATCACATGAGATCAGTAGCGTGAGATCTCGTGCCACTGATCTCGTGTGATCTTGTATTACTTTAGGTCTCCATTCTCTGCAAATGCACTGAAGGCCTGGTGCAACTAAAAAAGTGAAGGATCTCGATCTTCGCAAGATGAGTATCCAAGGCCTAGTGACTAGGGAGACCAGGGGTGGAGGTGGGGTAGGGAGGGAATAGCCAGGGTGAATGCTGCAGTGACATTGTGGTTGTTCATAAGGGTGAATGACTGCTGTAGTGCTGCAACATTTGTAAATTCGGGACTTTTTCATAAACACTGGGGTCGCTTATTGTGTAACTTCGAACATTCGCTAAGGGAATGCTTGTAACTTGGGGATTATCTGTACACTGTGGAGGATGGCTGTTTCTTTAAATTGCTAATCTTTTCACACATTCCCAACCAATTGCCTGTCCACATTGGTGGCTACTGGCTTCATGCCTGGTAAGACTAGAAGACAATTCATTTCATAGATTAATGCAGGATAAATTAAGATACTTAAACACTTCAAGAAAATACCCATGCCATTTCATGTCTATTTCTTTCGATACTATAGCTAAACCTAGAATATATAATTCTATTGTACATGTAATAATATCCATCCTCATTTCTCTATATAGATGCCTTAATTTAAATCATAGAGATGATTTCACTTTATACATTATTTTGGCCATTGTTAATGGAACAATGGTTTATAACATTTAACTTTTAAAACAACTTGAAATACCTATTGGATTTATTATTAATTAATAGAATCTTTTTTACAATCATTTTACATAGAAATAGAAAAGAGCCATTCATTCTAAAACAATAAAAATTATACCTTAGAATGGAGACTTTGTATTTTGTATTCTATAAAAAGTAAATAAATTACATCGGCCTGTCCCATGCAGTCAGACAGGGAAGATATGTTGCAGACCCCGTCAGCCTAAGAAATCCAATGGGTGGGGTCTGGGAAGAGAGCCTTCTTTGACCTTGCCCCCGCCCAATGGAATATTCTTCCCCCACCTTCATGGCCTTCTGAAAAGAAGTTAAAATATGGCTCTGCAGCCTTGCCCGTGGAGTCCGGAGGAGGAGTGCGCAGCTGTGGGATTGGCTATGCCCTCAGAACCCTCCCTCTACCTTTTAATTAATTCTAACAAAGTTTTATCCTCCTTGCCTCTCTCTAAATTTTTCATACTGTTTTTATATTTTAATACTTTGTTGTACACCATCCAGACTCCCTCCCTAAGAGAAATGGGCAGTTCAGGAATATGAAAAACAAAGAAAAAAACACAATTGAGCTTTTAAAAAACTTAGTAAGAGTACAATTTCTTTAATTTCAAAAGAAGTACAATATATTTGATTTCTTTTTTAATCAAGTGGTTTGAGTTGCTTTGTATGTTTGTGTCTAAAATATAGGACTATGACATTTACATGAACACCATTCCAATGAAAAAGAACTATTCTAATATATCATAAGAGTACTTATGATATATAACAGATCTTTCCATCACAAAAGAAGGGCCATAATGGGAAGGGATTGGGAGGGGTGAAGAAAACAATTCCCCTCTCATTCAATATGGTAGCATGGGAGGCTTGAAGTGGCAGATCTTTCAAACTGGAGTCTTTGACTCAAGCAAAAAATGTTTATCAGGGATGCTAATCAAGCAAATTTTCCAAGCACCAAGAAAGGTAGCAAAAGCAGACCTCCCAAAATCTTTGTTTTATTTCTCAGTTTAATAGCTTTATCTGTCCACAAATGAAATTGCCTAAAATCAACAAAGGGGCTTTTTTGATACCATATCACTGAGAAGTCATTGTTGGCTACATACATTTATCAGATGATAAGCAGAACAAGAGATGCGATACTCACATCATTGGGAATGGTGAGTTCATGAGTACTGGCTGGGGGATTGGCATCCAAACCTGAGCATATGCAAGAGAAAATGATTATTGCTTGAAGTATAGCACTTTTGATGGCATTTCACCAAAATAGCAGATCTTGAGAATCTCCAGACTGCACTAAAGCCAAAGGGAAAGAAGGTTGAAGTTTCAATATATAACAGATAAAAAAACGGAGCTCTAAAAGCAGTTGCTGTAATATTTCACTAGATAACAATTCAGTAGATTCTAATGCAGTGATGTTGCGTTCTTTGAATACTGATATCCTCACCTCATTTTTTTCTGCCTTTTGGAATAAACAAGCTGGCCTATACTGCATTTTCAGTTTTCAGTGTTCAAGATGTTACTGTTGGTCAATAAAATAAAAGATACAGCTGCTTAGAAATATTAGGGAGAACTTGTGGCTATTTAGGAGGCAAACTATGATACAGTGGTTATTTTAAGTTGCTCCCCCGAAAGGATTAATTAATATCTTCTATGCTACTCATTGTGTATGGATGCTATTTGCAAGGAAGAAGAATACTGTATTTTAAACCCAGTTCTGATGAAATAATGGAGTTTTATAGCAAAATTACTTTGAATTATATAGCATGAATGACAGACATATTTTGTCAGTAGGGAAATGGAATTTCTTATGATCTTAAGAGTTAATAGCAAGGATTATTTATATATTTTTGTAAAGTATGAAAACAAATTATTACAGACACTAAATCCACAATAGAACAAATGCTTTCATCTCTTTAGATAACATATTCTTTGTACTTAAATTACAGGGATCCAAAGAGAAATGTGAACTTAATTTAGATCTAAATTAAGCCAATAAACTGTGGACACCACAATCTGTTTTCTAAAACTGTGTTTTTTAAAATGTACAATAATACTGGAACTATACTGCTACAGTTAATTCTTTATTCCACATAGTTCCCTCAGGAATATGTTGTAAAGTAAATGTTTCAGAGTTGAAAGCAATGACCTAATCACTTGTTAATGTAGACTAAATAGTTATATGCTCAAAACCCAAGTAATATTTATTTATTTATAATAGATTTTTTTCAAAACCCCACTTTATTACTTTATAACTAATAAAGTCACCTAGTCAAGTTTTCATGTGTAAGGTGGGACTTGAATTCATTGTATAATATCTAATAAAAAGTGGCCATCATGAAACCTGGGAATTCTGCTTTTTAAGAAGAGCCACAAAATGACAGTAGTTTGTCCAAGTATAAGAATGAACGCTATTCTAAAAAGTTTGTTATGACAGCGCAAAAAATGTGTGCAGCCTGTGGGGCAACCTTTAATGGAACAGTATGCACAATATATGGCAATGATAGTTTGCAGGCTGTGTGTCAGAGAAAGCACAGAAATTTGGAAGTATGTTCCATTAAGACTAATATGATTTACATCCACAGAACTGTGCTGGGATCAACCTGAATCTGTTTTTGTAATACTGCTCAATAAGGGCATCTGGTTTTGAGCCTCTTTCTGAATTGTTTGAAGGTAAGTTACTCCATGCTAGATGCTGAGAGTGTTCAGCATAATACACAGTATTAACCAAAAACCAAAAAAGAAAAGGATGGGAGAGAAGCCATAGTCTGTTATCCATTATCTGGGAAGAAATAAGCAGGGATATGAGAGAAGAGTGTCAACTAAGCAATCATCCAAACACCAGTTCAGTCTGCTGAAACTCAGCAATGAACTTTAGTAATGCTGAAGTCTGCACCCATCAACTTACAGATTTGATTTGTAAAGTTTTTAACAAAACCAATAAAATATAGCCATAAGGATTTTATGGAACTTGATCTGGTACATGTGAGGATCTGAATTTATTTTAAATGTATTTATTGGTGGCTGAATTTATTTTCAGAGATATTTCTAGTTCCAGGAGAAATTATGTGAATAATTAAGAAATTATGTGAATCTTCAGATTGATAGAGAATGAGCCTCACACACTGTGCTGTGGTAAATGTTGTATTGTTATAATAGCACAATAATATTAATCTTTCATTTGTAAGACTTTTATATAATTTTATATAATAGTGATATCTTGATTATAGAATGATACATTAAGAAATAAATATTTTTATGCAGATGTCTTTATATGGAAATTATTTTTACTTTGCTCATTCTTTTCTAATAGTATCTCACAAATGTCTTTAATGCAGCTACAAAACATACAAAAATCATTCTATGAACTGAAGCTAGGATCTAAGGATGCGCACAATGGTTTTACTTGGACTTTTAATTTGTTATGGCTTCTGCTAAATCACAGATTCCTTTAGAAAGAGTGCATAGAGTGTGATGGAAAGTGAAAGGATGCTGTTTACTCCAAACCAAAATTTGGGGATGAAAGAAGAACAATTTCAAAAGCTGAAGAGAAACAAAAAGATGAAAGAGCTAAGGTCTAAAGAGAAGCCATTTTAACAGTGACATGTCATTCTGCTGGAGAATTATTCTGAAAAAGGTCCAGGTTGTCTTAACTGCTGCCATTTTGTTATTCTACTATCATAATTATAATTGTGCTGTGTCTTGCCTCCTGAACATCAGTAAAACTATCCCATCAATATAATCAGAACAGCTGCTTTATATATCACTTTGGCAATGACAAAAAGAATTATATGACTGTATTTCCTGTATTTATTTTACCTGAGGATTGGCCCATCAGATTTTGAGCTTCTTCGGAGGAATGTAAGGGCAGCTTTTCTCCTGAAGAGCAAAGAAGAAACACACTTAACTTTTTTTTTTTGCCTTCAAGGAGAGAAGCAATATCACTTCATCTAGGAAGCTCAAAATATGATGAACAAAATGGCAGAAAAAGCAAGTTCCCATTCAAATAAAATGCAATGCTATTAAAACATATGTTCAGTAAATAATATCTGCCGTCCTAGTTTTCTGCAGAAAATATTCCCTTTTCCTAATATTTCTGAGTTTATCAGAAATGATTTTTAGAAATCTACTTGATGCCTCAGATAAAAGGCTGGTTTGTCTTCATTTTCCATAAAAGCAGTGGTTCAAATGCTAGGCATTCATTAGTCATCTAATGTATTTGAATCCTAGTAGTATATTTTAGAATATCACAAACAATCAGGGACAAGTATGAGAAATTAACCTTTGCCTCTCAGTGCAGATGCATCCTTACCTCCTGACTAAAGGACTGTTATAACATAGGTATCTTAGAGCAGATAATAGCATCACATAACTTGCAAATATATGACCTGACTTTTTCTCAACTCTAGTGTCTGCCTCTTGTCCTCCCTTAATTCCACTGCAATTACACATCCTGTTTCTTTTAATCTTAGAAACCAAGCTTAGAAAAAGAGAGAACTGTATAGGTAAAAAGAGAAGGAAATCTGTAAAGGGAATTTGGGTACGTACCAGGGAAAGCAGGGGTGGTCTGTCCAAGGGGAGTAAAGGGGGTTTGCTGCATAGCCAACTGGTGGAGCTTGGTCAACTGCTGAGGGGGTAGGAGGGATATTAGAACTAAGAAGGTTATTGTTATAGAATACAAGTCACACTGAAAACCAAGAACAAAATTATAATAGTAATATTTTTAAGAAAGAAACCAGGAAGCCATGTGGAATCATGGCAACATACAGGTTTTATAGAAGGACTTGGCCTGGGAAATTATAATTGGTCAAATTTCTGGCAGATGTGCTCAATCAGGATCTGAAACACAGCAGCCTAGTTTTGTTGTTGTGTCTTTCCAGATGAAATTGTACATATGTGTTCATCACAAAACCTGAACCAAATAGGAGAATATGTAGATGTGTGATTACCATCTCCCAAAGAGGTTCTACTGCATGGAGACCATCAGTGTTTCTGGAGCTGTGACCTGGAACTGGTAGTTTCTTCAAAATATTGAAAGTTTCATAACTAGGTAGATGACCCCAATGAAAAGTCCAGTATGTGTTTTGGCCAAAATAGGTATGTATTTCAGATCCTGTTCATCCCTTCTTGTGCTTTTAGCATTAGGCTTTTAATAACTCATCACAAAGAGGAAAGCAATTCCAATATATTTTATGCCAAATCTATACTGTTATTCAAACACCAAAATAACTTGAAACCAAACCTGCTTTTAAAGCCATGCTCTGTAAGAGCTTGAGGTAGTAGGATGATAATTAGATTCTGATGTCATTACAGAAATTCCCTACACAGCACAGTAATAGGTTGCGGGAAGTTCCCCTAAACTATGAGATTCTGATCTTTTGAATTCAGAAGGGGGAAAGATTAAAAGCAAAAATCCCAAACTCCTGCTCCTGCAGAATATCTGAGTGAAAGAGTGCAGGAAAGTCTGACATTGGTGCTGTAACATTTGGATGAAACATTGGAACCAGAATACCTGAGAGGCTGAAGAAGACAGGAAAGTTACAAGGAGTTTGAAAAGAAGAGCTTTTATTAGTCAACCAAGCAGGCAAACAAAATATGAGAAACAAATGGCATCCTATAACCTATGTTGTCTTGAAATAAATTAAAAGATGGGGGGGATTAAATCATTTAAGTTTCTATATGAAGTACTCTGAAAGAAAATGTTGTGTTCTTCAAAAGTGTGACATTCATTTTTGTCTATGCAACCCTTACTGTCCCTAATCACAAACTGGATATTCTTTAGATCAGCGTAGTGTGTGCACCATGGAATTTTGGAACAACAAGTAAGAAAAAACTAAACCAAGATTTGGATATTGCTGTTTAACCAGAAGATTGTCTGTGGAATCTTTCTGGCTTAATCAACAAAGTATGGTTTTAATTTATAGCAAAGTGATGGTATATAGAGCTTCTTTGCTGGAAGATTAAACTACACAGTAGGTTCATACATCATGCTAAGCCATGATTTAGTTTAGTATGAAGTGTAAACAGAGACAGGAAGTAACACAGCTGCTCTTCTGATTTCAGTTATGATTGTGTACATTGGAGGTAATACACACTTATGATCAAACCCACTGTGGGTAAGATGGGAAGATTTTGCTTTCAAAAGCCACCACCCCATATATGTAGGAATTTTAAAAGAAAACAAATTCATGGATGATTCAGTAGGTTGGATGATTCTTGGATGGTTTGTTGGTTTTTTTTGTTGTTGGTTGGGGGTTTTTTTGCCAACAAAATGTGTTCTTCAAATCTTCTTTACAGGACTGTCTCAAATTTGACATCACCTAATGAATATGAATTTGATTCAGCCTTTTCCTCTCCTACAAGAAACTATATGTTCCACCAGGAAATTTGACAGGACCAGAAGCAGAGGCAGGAAATCATAGAAAATCATAGAAACATGGTCAGGAAGTTGGTGGTCTAGCTGAATTTTTATTTGTTATATCCGAGAAACTAGAGAATTGGTAAAGTACCAAATAACTGGAGAATAGCAGACATTGTCCATGTCTACTAAAATGGGCAAAAGGAAAATCCAGCAAATTACAGACCACTCAGTCTGAAACTAATACAAGGGAAAATCCCAGAGCAGATGCTAAAGATCTTGAAACATTTTGCCAGACTAATCTTACCTCATGTTTTGAACAAGAAGCTTCCTTAATAGATTGTGAGCATGCTGCCAACACAATCTATCTTGACTTCAACAAAGCATTGATTAATTACTCAATGATATGCTAATCTAGTTAAGCATGGCCTGAATGGCAGGACATTTTATAACTGGCTCAAACTCAACCATGACTTAAACTTAGCCATGCAAGGAGTTAAACTGGTTAACTAATTAAACTTAACCATGGCTTAAAATTACCATACAACCTAGCTAAGCATGGACTGAATGGCATGACAGTTCATAAGTGACTCAAACTTCTTCAAAGAATGTCGATCAATGGGTCCTCATCAAATTGAAGAGAGGTATCAAATGGGGTTCATAAAGATTAATTCTCTATCCTCTATTCTTTGCTAATGATTTCATTAATGATTTGAGTGCAAAAGTATAGGAACAATTATCTAATTTACAGATATAAACTTGGATGGGACAGCCAATATCCTAGAAGACTGAAATAAAAGTCAAAATGATCTTGATAGGTGGCAGAAATGATCTGAAAACAACAAAATGAAATTTAACAGACAAGTGCAAATCTCTTCATTTAGGAAACAAAATCACATACACAGATATATGTTGTGGGATACCTACTTGCAAAAAAGATCTTGGATTAGTAATTGATTGCAAACTGAATTCATTGCCAAGAGTGTGATGTGGCTGCAAAGAAGGCAAATGCAATTTTAGGTTGCATCAACAGATATTTAGTTTCCAATTCACAGGAAATAACCCACTCCATTCTATTTTATTATCTCCATCTCAAATACTAGGTTTACTTCTGGGTACCATACATTAAGGATTCAGAGAAATTGAACAGACTCCAAAAAGGTCAATGAAGAGGATCAGGGGACTAGACACTAAGGCCTACGAAAAGAAATTGAAGAAGCTGGACATATCTTTAGAAAGGGTAATTGATGAGAGATCACACACTATTCTTTTGTGTTCCACAGAGCAATAGATTTCATAACAAGATGGCAGATCATGATTGAACTTTTAAAAAAAAATATTAACAGAAAGAGTCATGTATGTGTTTCACTTTGAGAGCGGGCAACTAAATTTCATTTTTGATGTGTGCTGTTGTGCCCACAGTAAAAAAATGACAGTAAAGGTTATCTTATCTTATCTTGTCTTGTCTTGTCTTATCTGTCTTACCTATCTTAACTTATCCTATCTTATCTTATCTTGTCTTGCCTTACCCTGCCTTACCTTACCTTATCTTACCCTATCCTATACTACCTTACCTTACCTTACCTTACCCTGTCCTGTCCTGTCCTGTCCTGTCCTGTCCTGTCCTGTCTTGTCCCGTCTTGTCTTGTCTTGTCTTGTCTCGTCTCGTCTCGTCTCATCTCATCATCTTCGGTCTTGGATATATTAATTTGAATTTCTAAATTAAGAGGCAGTTGGACTCAGTGGCTTAAATAACCTGGTTTTTTTTCTTCTGTTCAATCATGTTCAATTCTTGGAGACTACCTGCACAAATCCCCGAAGTTTTCTTGGCAAGATTTTTCAGAAGTGGTTTGCCTTTGCCTCCTTCCTAGGGCTCAGAGAAAATAACTAGCTCAAATCAGCCAGCTGACTTCATACCTAAGATCTTATAGTCTCCCAGTTTCTAGTTTGATGCCTTATTCACTACATCAAACTGGCTCTCAAGTGACCTTAAAACCAAAGAAACAGAAAAGCCTCCTTCGTCAACCAAGCTAATCTACTGTGACTTTATTGCGATCAGATGCAGTGTCCATATTTCAGATGGATTTAATAGAAGGTAAAAAAAATCAGATGGGAGAGAGATAAATAGAACATTTGTATTTTATGCATTTTCAGAAGGTGAGATGTTGAATACTACATAGGGAACATAAAATGGAGAAGTTGGAAGTTGGAAGCAATTGTCAGAATAGACTTCTGATTGCAGTCTATGTGTGGAAGGGAATTCTACTTGGTGGTACCAAATTTACAGGGGCTAAAGACCACAAAACAGGTATTTGAATTGCAGGTAACCAGAAATCATGGTTGTCCACTTCTCAGGTCCATGAAACAGGGAGCAAGAAAGAGCTCTGACTCTCCAAATCTCACCCACAGTCCCCAATTGTTTGAAAGAGTAGAATATATATCTGAGAGTTTCAGTTGTGTGTCCATAATGCACATATACAGGATATAGTAAAAGATACTGCAAATTGTTTGTATTGATGGGGAAAGAAATCCTATTTTTAAAATTCATGTTTATAGATTCTCACACTGTTCAGTATTATAATGTAATCTAATTTTTCCATCAAGAATTTTAGAACTTGGGACCCAATGGAACATTTTTTAAACCTTAAAACTATAGTTTATTCACCATATCATACTAATATCTGTGCCAGATCTTCAGAAATTACAAGGGCACATTTATAATAGTAATCCCTGATGAGAAGGGCTTGCCCTTTTAAATACTCAGTATTTCAAACCGCTTCCTACTTATAAGATTTTATGGAGATAGTATCTGGGCTTCTAAATTCCATCCAATTCCACAAAACATAAATATGTTATAATAATTTAGTGATTTATCCATTATCATACATAAGAAAAAACTGAAGCTTTGGAAAAATAATGCATGGTTCCTCTCTGGATCCAAAAAGAAGTTTTAGATATGCATATTTTTTTTATTTCATTTCATTTATTTATTTGTATCCCACCTTTATTATTTTTACAAATAACTCAAGGCAGCAAAAATATGCAACCCACCTTCCTTCTCTTATTTTCCCACAGCACCAACTGTATGAGGTAGGTTGGGCTGAGAGAGAGTAACTGTTACTCAGCCGGCTTTCATGACTAAGGCAGGACTTGAATTCATGATCTCCCACTTTCTAGCCTGGAGTCTTAACTACTAGACGAAACTGGCTTTAGTGAGTATATATATTCCTTGAACATTTCTTTGTATTTACATATGCTTCAGTTAGTCACATGCACTGAATTCAGTTTGGCTGATTCAGAAAGATTCCAGGGATGCCAAACTAAAATAGGCTTTCCTGAAATGTGGAGAATTCAGAACCGAAAGTTCAGAATACATTCAGAGGATCTATTATGGAAAGTCAGTTTTATTTTACCTGCATGATACATTCCTCAGTAAGTTTCTTATATAAGGAGAATGAGGAAAGAAAGAAGATGGTATGATTTTTATTTTAGTAAGGATGCAAAATAATTTTTCATTAAAAAGAAATTGTTTTAGAATTCTGGTTTTATTTATTGATTCATCATTTTTATATATTTTCCCATCTCATAATCAAGTGACTGGGCACCATGGAACAAAGTTAGAAAAGTTTTAGCTCCTTGGAACACTTGTATCAGTGTAAACTTTGCTGTTTTGTGAAGTATGGACTGCTAACTGTCCTGGACATTCAACCACCAATCCACTGTTTCTAAAGCCAGATTGCAAATGTTATATATTCCCTAGAAGCTATGTAATTTGGGTAACCACTTATGTAATCATTTGGTTAAGCAAATTAATTACAGATACCTAATGCACAACAATAAAAAACCCACAATCTCTTTTCCTTCATTTACTTAACTCTTGACAACACACTAGGGAAAATATACAAATATGCATATATTACAGATGTCTGAAAGATTGTAAATGAATATAAGTATCATTTTACAAAACCTTTTACATTAAATCTCAGTTAACAGTCTTGGAATTCTGCACATTTTTTAAAAAGAACCAGAAACTGGGTTATACTGAAATACTGCAGGGATTAAGGTAACAGAATTTCAATCAATTGCATATTCCAAAATTTGAGATGGATAATTGTGTTTATATAAAAAAGGCCTTCTTTCAAGCTCTCCAGTACCAATGTTTTGGATTTATGCATAAACATTTAATCAGACAACAATGGCCAGAATTAAGAAAAAAGCTCAAAATCAGCATAAAGAATTGTGCTGTTTCACTGACTACAATCTAAACTGAAACATGTGATCAATAAAATCTTACGTTTTTCTAAACTGATGACATTTCTTGCATCTAGAAAGTGTTCTGTGTTGCTCTCTCTGGTTAAGGATGTGCTTTGTAAGATGTGATAACATTTCTTATTTGAGAAATAATGACATTGATTTCCATGGACTGATCTGCTCTTTATTATCTCCTATCCCACTCCTGTTCATTGGTCTCATTTGGTTTCGGACTGAACCAGCTGTGAATAAATTATTAAAATGTAATGTTTTTTTTCCCTATAGCTATATCAGTTTTCTTTTTCACCTACTGCTATAAACACACTTGGACCATGGTATTTTCTCATTTTTATTGTAGAATTTTATTAAACTAAAGGAGAGAGGTAGTAGTTCACCTGTCTCCTTTGTAAATAATGATCATTAGGCTCTTTTTCTGAAGAAGAGAGACCTTGAGTCATAGCTGCATGATATACCATATATTGATTGCTTATGTGGTTAACCTTAAAGTTTTAATTTCATATTGTCCAGTGTTCTGTATCACCCTGAAGCCCTCATGCAAAGTTCTTTATTATGGGTAGCTATACTACTGTGTAAAATCAGCAAAGAGTTAAAAGGATAATTAATAGTTTAAAGGAGAATATTTGTAGCTCAGGGCTGAAATGAGGGGTCTCTGAAACTTGATGTCAGATCTGCCTGGCTCGGCTTGGGAGGCCTCACAGGCAGTGCTTTTTTCTAAAAAAAAAAAAAAAAGGTGCCGGAACTCACACACGTCATACAACCCGCCTTGCCTACCCTACAAGATTCCATCCAAAAAAGGTGCCGGAACTCTGTTCTGGGTGTTCTATGAGAAAAAAAGCCCTGCTCACAGGCATCCTGCCATAAAGAGAAGAAGGGAAGAAGGATGAAAGGGAAAAGAAGGGGGGAAATGAAAGGAGGAAAGATAAAAGGGCAATAAAGTTTTGTGTGTATGTGATAGGAAATCAGGAGGGGGGAATGAAAGGTGAGAAGGACCAGGGCAGCCGAATCCTGTTTGTATCAGCATCTCACGGCCAGGCACCCTGAGAAGTATGCGGATTGCCCCCAAACATCTTAGAGTTCTCAAAACATCTTGGCGAGCTCTGGTGGGCTGGAAATGGACTGGTCATGGAGGGAGGGATGGGCTGGGGGCAAACCTACACCTTATGTTGCACCCAGTGAACGCAGTGATTACAGAGCTGGCTTGACTTTAAGGCTTTTGTTTCCTAAGGGATCGGATTGGGGCAGGTCTGACATATCAATTTTCCATCCCTGCATGTTGAAAGTCCATGCATGAGAAATAGGCTTAAGTTTGTTTGAACATGTTTCCATATTTCTTCCATATTTTTATGTATTGTATATTTCTCCTATTACATTCAGTGTTATATGCAGTTGATCAGATTGACATTTTCTAAGCAACTGTTATTTATAATTACATTTTATTACATTTCTCCTAAGAATGTATTTCTGCTCAGAGAACAGTAATTAATTTCACTTTCCCAATATTTAGGCTATAGATTTTCTCTTCCATCCATAAATACATAAGCAAGCAAGCAAGCAAGCATAAAGCCTAGACATTGAAAACAGATAAAAATGAAGCCTAGAGTTTTTTTCCTCCCTGTATAAAATTCAGTGTGAGCATCCATTGGCAGCATAGTATGGCCTAAATAAAATTCATTCATAATCTTCATTTTTCAGTGAAAGAGACAACAGTTGGTACTAAGTTCATTTATGAGAAGCATTTTTGCAAATGTTGTTTCAGATGTTATTTATATGCTTTTTTTTGTTAGAAAGGAAGGAACATAAAGTAAGAGCCATGGTGGCACAGTGGTTAGAATGCAGTATTGCAAGCTAACTCTGCTCACATTGCCGGGAGTTCAATTCCTTCGATCCTGACTGGCTCAAGGTTGACTCAGCCTTCCATCCTTCTGAAATTGGTAAAATGAGGACCCATATTGTTGGGGGAAATACCCTGACTCTGTAAACTACTTAGAGAAGGCTGTAAAGCACTGTGAAGTGGTATATAAGTCTTATTGCTATTGCTATTAAGAAAAAATATTTTTTACTAAAGATATAAATAATAAAACAAATAATGATGCCCACTCCTGGTTTGGAATGACAACTGGAGAACAATAATCAACTGTTTCCCCCCTCCCCCAAATTCTAAACTAAGGGATTCAGCATCAGCAGAAATTCTCTCTTCCCTTTCATTATAACTAAGGAAATGTAAAGTATCTTGAACTCTTGGCAAAAAGGTGAAGTATAAATTAAATAAATAAGCAAAGACTAAGGAAAATAGCAAGGATTCTGGGTATAACCACATCATAAAATGAGAAGATGCATAAACAGGTTGTTTCTTTCATTATCAGCAATTTCTATGGCAGAAAAAAACATAAAAGGAAAGGCTCTTTAATGGCTAATATCAGGGAACAAAAAATTTAGTAAAGGGATAGCACAGAAAAATGTTGGTAATTTAACAACAGGCCAAGTCCTCAATAGAAATAGAATTGAGTCCTAATTATTACCAATACTACACATGGCCAATTATTTTGACAAAAACATTAATATTAATTATTAATATTAATATTACTCATTTGACAAAACATGCAGGTAACATAGAATACATTTACAAATAATAAAGAGAAACTCACATCTGGATGTGGAATTGCATATTGTCCTTGAATCGTATAGGCCTGGGAAAAAAAAGCAGTGTAAGACACTGACACAGTGACCAGTTGCTATAGGCTTTACTTAATGCTGAACCTGTATCACTAATCGACATAGCAACATTAGGATCCTCCATAGTCTGCAATATTTGAGTCTGTCTGTCACATCAAGGACATTGTTATATACCTATATAATGCTATACTATAAAGTGGGTCTAGGCCTAAAGTATATAATAAACTGGAATTTAACTGAACCCCTAAAAATATATTTACCCAATGAAGCATTTTCTAATGTTTTTAGCAATTAATTCTACACTTCCTAAGCTTTTGGTTCTGGCACATAGGCAAGTGAAACTCAAGCAGGATCCACCAACCAACAGTGAAGCCAGAAGCTGAGACCAGGACCAGATGGTGTTTTCAAATGCCAGTTGCACAGCCTCACTCCCCTCTTTAGCGGGCAGCCTGAGGCTCATTCCCTCCTCCCTTTAATGTAGGCCTTTCAGCTAATTTTCATTCCACTCTACAGCATTTCTTCATCTACTTTGAGGGGCAGTGTTGGAGAGAAAAATGTTTGAATAATTTCTCTAAATAGATTAAAGAGTTTCCATTAAGAGTGGTTCTTGTATGAGTGAAAAAAGTGGGTAGTTACACTCTTACCAGTCCTCTCAGTTACTCCCTGTGAAATGACCTCACCTAAGTACTTGGCAGCTGAACAGAGACCTTGGACTGGTAGCTGGGAAATGACTCACCTTTATCCTTGCATAGCAAGAATGGCACAGTTGAAGGAAAGTTGAGTTAACCGGGCATTCCTCTTTCAAAAAGTTATTTGTTCCCATTTGTTCCCAGGCCAAGCTTAAAGTATTATAAACCAGGATAGAATATCTATTTTCTTTTTACACAAGTAAGTTTTCCCTCTTAATTCAAGTTTAACTTGTTTTACAATTCCATTAGGGAAGAGGGAGAGAGCCTTTGGCATAGACTGCCATATTTATGCTATATTCAGAGGTAAACAAAAGTGCTTTCTGAAACAGCTACTGTATGTCCCCAATTCTCTCTCCCCACTCTAACTTCTACCCAGAATAAATATTTATCTCAATTAAGTTTTGGGCTGCTTACAGAGATAGTGGTGGGTGGCATTTGTCTTAGCCAATGGGTAGGAACAGATCAGTATTTCCTTCCGGATTTCTCAGCTAAAAAATTAGCAATTTTGATAAACCTTGCAATGGGGACTTCAGGGAAAGACCATCAGAGCTAGCTAAGGGGAACTGCACCCTGACTGTGCATGTTTCCCATCCTTTCTAAGAGAGCTGCTTGGCTGGATTCAATTGCCCAAGCCTTGGGGAGCCATATTTTCCTATATTGCAAAATTGCTGTGACTGGCAATAGGCATGCAGTTGTGAGTGTAAACAATGACTGCTTTGTGATACCATCCATTGCAACATTGCTGTTGATAGGCCAAGTAAAAGGTAAGGTCTGACCTCTTACATGTGCCAAGATATATTGTAGACCAGAGTTCCCTCTCTATACTTAGATATTCATACATTTAGCCAGATATTTAGACTGAATTTGGCAAATCCTTCCCAAGGATGTGGGATAAGCAGATCATATTTGATGGTATTAAAGATATTGTTACAGAATGTCAGGGATTCTAAGTAAAATTGCCTTTTACAATTGAATTATAATAATTTTTCAATGCCAATGATGTTCAAGTGATGCTCCAGTTGGTTATTATATAAAATTATATGGCTGGTCATCAGACATAATTTTACACTGGATTAGCAACCAAACATGATATTATATAATTTCATATAATTATATGATTTTATATGTTATGTCAGACATGTCACTCATCATCTAGAGAGCTACATTTGATGGGCCCTAGACAACAGGCCTTTTCTGCTTGCCACCCATTTTGTGGTATCTTCTTGCTCCAGATGTAAGGCTGGCATCATTACTCCTAAACTTCTGAAGATCCCTGAAGATCTATATACTCTCTTCAGTTCTGCTCTTTAGTATCATCCTTTTCCCAATTTTAAGCAACAATGCTGTGACATCAGTTAGATTGCAAATATTGGTGCCATATGTTAAGCTCCATTGTTGAATGGGGACATTGAAACTGAGCAGAACAGAATAACAGAGTTGGAAGGGACCCTGGAGGTCTTCTAGTCTGCTTAAACAGGAGACCCTATACTATTTCAGACAAGTGGGTGTTCAATCTCTTCTTAAAAGCCTCCACAACTTCTGAAGGCAAGCTGTTCCAATGGTTAATTGTTCTCACTGTCAGGAAATTTATTCTTATTTCTAGATTGCTTCTCTCCTTGATTAGTTTCCATCCATTGTTTCTTGTCTTGTCTTCTGGTCCTTTGAAAAATAGGTTGACCCCCTCTTCTTTGTGGCAGCCCCTCAAATATTGGAACACTATTAGTCCTTCTTTTCATTAGACTAGACATACCCAATTCCTGCAAATGTTCTTCATGTTTTAGCCTCCAGCCCCCTAATCATCTTTGTTGCTCTTTTCTGCACTCTTTCCACAGTCTCAACATATGTTTTATAATATGGTGATCAAAACTGGATGCAATATTCTAAGTGTGGTCTTACTAAGGCTTTATAAAGTGGTACTAATACTTTATGTGATCTTGATTCTATCCATCTGTTAATGCAACCTAGGGTTACACTGGTTTTTTGCTGCTGCGACACACTGCTGGCTCATATTTTATAACAGCAATAGCACTTAGACTTATATACTGCTTCATAGTGCTTTATAGCCCTCTCTAAGTGGTTTACAGAGTCAGCATATTTCCCCCAACAATCTGGATCCTCATTTTACCGACCTTGGAAAGATGGAAGGCTGAGTCAACCTTGAGCCAGCCAGAATTGAACTGCTAAACACAGTTAGCCTGCAATACTGCATTCTAACCACTGCGCAACCACAGTTCTTTTAAGTGATTGTCCACTAGGACTCAAAAATCCCTTTCACAGTTGCTATTGAGCCAAGTTTCACCTAATCTGTACCTGTACATTTGGTTTTTCTTGCCTAAGTGAAAATCATCCTTTTCTCAACATTGAATTTTATTTTGTTAGATAGGGCCTAGTGTTCACGTTTATCAAGATTCATCTGGATCCTGAGCCTATCTTCTGGGGTGTTGGCTATTCTTGCCAGTTTAGTGTTATCTGCAAATTTGATGAGTTCCGCTTCTATTCCTTCATCTAAATTGTTTATGAAGATATTAAAAAGTACTGGGCTTAAAATGGAACCTTGGGATACCCCATTGCTTACTTCCCTCCATATAGATATCTTCCCAGGTATTGGTGTCAGGCTGTAGTTTTTCCTTTTTGGAAGATTGGGACATCAGTTCTTTTCCAATCCTCTGATAGTTCCCCTGTGCTCCAAGAACTTTGAAAGATATGGTTCAATGATTCCGAGATCATGTCTGCCAGCTCCTTCAGAACTCTGGGATGTAAACCCTCAGGTCCCAGGGACCCAGTAGGCTTGAGACCCAGGAGATGGGTGACCTCGGAGGTGGTTTCTTTATTATTTACATCCAACCATGTATTATTCTCTTTACCTGTTTTAGGTCTGCTTCTATCATTCTTAAATCTATTTAATAATATTATATAACGGTTTTAACTAATAATTGTCTTATTCATTTACTGTTTTTACTGGTTTGTTTTATGCCTTCCAGCTTAATTTCTATGAGATGAGCAGCTACATAAATTTGATTAATAACATAAATAAATATTATATAATTATATTTTATAATTATATAATATATAATATAATCATCATCATCTGGAGTATCACTTAAACACAATCAACACTGACAAAATAATTTCATTGTTATTATTTCATCAAGGAATAACACAATATAGAGAAGAAACAAAAAAGATCAGTTATTTTCCTGTTCTTCTTTGGAAATTTGAGTCTCATTGAGGAACATATGCCTTTTTCAAGTAATATCATAAAGTGCTCAGTGAGGTAATTTTCTAATCCATCTTTGATATAGCCAAATTATTTAGCTATTGTAAAAATGTGTTTAATCTGTTATTCTGCCTAATGTGCCAATAACTATAGGGTTGAGTTTTTCCATGAAGTATCTTTTTCAATAGCTAATTATTTTCTCATTATTACCACCTCTTTACAAAAAGGCTATGATGTATGTAATCAATGTATAGGTATGAATACTTCCATTGTAAAGAATGAGGAAGTCTAGCAGAAAAACATTTTATTTCCTAAGAATTTATGGCTGAACTAAATATAATTTTGCATTTTCCTTATTTAGAATTTCCCAGCTCTAAAAAATCTACAGTCAAATATTCTGTTTCTGAAACTCAAAGACAAGTATTTGATAAAGGGATGTAAACAACAACAAGTACAACAGTAATGATAACACTGTAATCTATGGCCTCATAAAAAAGGACCTGCTGTAAGATTTCTTAGTGCAAGATGCTTCATATACTTCCCTTGTGGTCCAGTTTGCAGGGCTAGACTCTACCCAAGTTTAGATCTTAAACGTATTGCCCAGTAAATAACAATATACCTTCTATTGTTTGGCTGATAAAAATGTGGTATTAGCATGTTTCCACATATGCTTGTTTTACACACTTCTAACCCTTTTTGTGAAAAAGAGAGAATCACTGATGTATGTAAGATAGTAGAATACAGTAAAAAACCCAACCACAATCACAAAACCCCTAAGCTTCTAATTCTTATTAATTCTTTCCATTGAGGAGCAGACATTTTTCTCTTTTAGCTTCTTCTCTATTGGGGATTTATAAATAAAAAGTTTGCAGACTATAAAACAATCTTCTTTTTATTGAAAAATGGAAATAAAGAACACTTTATAAGCAACAATAAATGTGCCAAAGGAAAGCATTTTTCATAAGTGATTTAAAGACACTTCCATTTAAATAGACTACAAAGATGAACAATCACACATAAAGGGAGAGTAAAGACAGCAAAGGAAAATGAATGAAAAATTTAGTTGAATTTCAAAATCAAATCAACTGGGTTTCTTAACTAAGGGTTC